CTCACAAATATCGTACCTCTCGATTTCCTCTCGTTAAAGGTTGAGCTCTCCAGGGGCGTCTGCTTCTTAAATTGACCTCTCTTAATCTATTGCGGACAGTGTCAGGACTAACGGTTACATTATGTGTTTCCTGGAGAAGAAACTAAGCACTGGTGCTGTAAGAGTCGGTCGGCGTTGAGCATTTAATTGTAAAAAATGATCTTGCTGAGGGGTAGTAATGCGATGTCGCCCTGTGTACCTTTCAGCAACATCACCACTTTCACGGTAGCGTGCACTTAATCACGATTTTACACTTTGCGTTGTATTTAATGCTCTAGCTACGTCGATTTGGCGCATTCCAGCTTCGAGCATACCCATGGCCCTTCGCATTTCGTCTCTGTTAAGATGTCTACGCTCCATAACGTTGTTTAATACTAAACAAAATTATTTGAATGAATTCTGGCCAGTTATCATAAAAACATAGCCAGTACAGGTTAATTCTATACATTTGACAAAAAATGCACAAACACTTCTGCAAATATCCCAAATTTAGAAATAATAGGTGTGACTACTTCGTTTCAATCAAAGTAGAAAGAATCGGCCTACAAATATGTGGTTGTTTATTCAAAACATTTATTTTTAACTTTAATAAAATGATATCCATAGATTTTTCCGGTGTGTCTATATACAATAAATTTGCAAAAATTCAAATCAGTTTGAAATGAGTTATTTGAAACGTTAAACAAAACTGTCAAAAATGGAGTGATATGATGTCGATTACGTCGATTTTTTTTAAAATTTTATAATCCGACCGTAATAAGACAATTAAACATATACAAATAAAATACAGCATGTCCCCGGATTGTCTTTACAAGAGGAAAAACTTTTTTATTATTGGCATTTTGAGAAAAATACATTCTTCATAAAAATGTTTGCTTGTTCTAAAATGGTTAATCCCGTTTATACTTTTGACAAATTTCCATACTGTTTTGAATAAAATAAAAAAATACATGAAAATAGAGTTCAATTAGTTTCTAAAAATCAAAACGCGTTTTTATGGTAATATAACTTCGTTTTCATTCTTAGATAGATTGTTATACATAGAATTTTAATTGAAGTCATATTTTTTGTTATTTTGAAATGTTAAAGGAAGCACAACATTTATTTAGTTCAGTGGTAAGGAAAGAGTGATAATAGTTATCCAAAAATTTGATACTTTAACAACAACAAAAATATGACATTAGTTAAAACTAATAATAACCGTCTATGAAAGAATGAAATCATAATTATATTACCATAAAAATGACTTTTGATTTTTAGAACTTAGAAAAAAGTCAACAATAATTTCTTATTTTCTTCTAAAACGGTATGGAAATATGGAAAAACGGGATTAACCATTTTAGAACAAGCAAAATTAATAATGCATTTTTCTCAAAATACCAACAATAAAAATGTTTTTCCTCTTGTAAAGACAATCCGGGGCATACTGTATATCTTAACAAACTCTTTTTCTATCTGCAACTTTATTTTCAATTTTCGTATTTTATTTACCCGGCAGGTTACATTTGAATCACTCTGTATAAAGAGGTTGGGGGAGATTGAAGGTGATGAAAAACGATATTCGTATTTGTCGTTTGGGAAGATGAAGATATCATTCCTGAAGTTGGTAATGTAACTGAAAGCCTGCCAATTTACTTATTTTCTTATTTAGAGCATAATTCGACAAGTGACGAATCGTTTGAAATTCAAATACCTACTCGCTTTACAAGAATAAGACAAAATACTTAACAAATTTTATAAATTTATTTCACGGCGAATTAATCTTCTTAAAAAACTGTATTTTAAAAAGAAAATAATAAATTTAGGTATAAAAATACATACATTTTTAGTAATCTGAGAAAAAATTGTAATTAATATTAAAGAATTAATTGATTTTTCGTACGATCTAACAATATTAAAAATTAATTTCTTCTATTTAATTAATTAAGTTAGATATTTCGATGATTAATTAATTAGGTAGTTATTAATCTCAAACAAGATTAATTATCAGACCACTGAAAAAAAAGTAAATTAATTATCGTATCAATGAAAAAAATCGGTAAAAAAACTTTTAAGTTAAACGGTTTTATCTTATGTGCACTGAAAACTAGAAGATAATAATAACAATTAGGTATTTTGAACTTCTAGTTCAGAAATAGTTTAGTACTAGGCAGAATAGCTTTTAGGCATATTAGACTAAAATAAAAACGTGGGGCCCCTCTGAAATCCTACCTATGGCAAAGCATATCTTTATACTTTGGTAGATCATGAGCTCGGCGTTCGCTGGTGAAGCCGCCACGGCTGGTTATTGATTGTCAAAATCTCCAGTTACGATTATAGTAAGTCGATGCAATCCACACTTAATATAGAAGAAAGTATTACAGCAATAGTTAATGGGCCCCACGTTTTTATTTTAGTCTAATATGCCTAAAAGCTATTCTGCCTAGTACTAAAATATTTCTGAACTAGAAGTTCAAAATACCTAATTGTTATTATTATTTTCTAGTTTTCAGTGCACATAAGATAAAAAACCGTTTAACTTAAAAGTTTTTTACCGTTTTTTATTTTCTAGTTTTTAGTATTTAACGGAAATGCCTACCGAATATTCCTCATTCTATTTAATTCATTTAGTGCATCATTATTACATGGTTTTTTACCTGATAATTTATTACAATCTGACGCTCATGTGTTTCTGACGCTAACAACTCTCTCTGTCTATCGCGTTCTGATGCTAGCCTAGACTCATGACGCTCAGGTGTTTCTGACGCTAACAACTCTCTTTGTCTCTCTCGTTGTGATGCCAGCCTAGACTCATGACGCTCAGGTGTTTCTGCCGCTAACAACTCTCTGTCTGTCACGTTGTGATGCTAGCCTGGACTCATGACGCTCAGGTGTTTCTGACTCTACCAGCTGCCTTTGTCTCTCACGTTGTGCTATTAACCTGGCATCATGTTGCTCAGGTGTTTCTGTTGCTAACCGTTCTCTTCGTTTCTGTAGTCGACTATAGGTTTCATTTTCACTTTCTTTTGCACGTTTCGGTCTATACTTTTCTTTCGCCTTTTCGAGCCTTCTTTTTCGTTGTGTGGCAACGTTTTTATTTTTGTTTGTTTTTTTTTTATTTATTGTTTCCATGTTGTTCCCACGAGTAATGGACATTTTAACGGTCGACCCCCCCAGAGGTCCAGTAGAGGGGCAAGGCTATAATATACAACAAGAGGCGCCCAATCTTGAGGGGAAAACGCTTGCGACATTACATTTTTAGCCACCCTAATGCCATACAGTCCTCAGCACGTTTTAACCTATTACATTAACTTGGGTGGTAAAGCTACCGCTAACTACGTAGGTACATCTAATCACCTATTTTTTTTTTTATCTGTCCTTCTAACGTCACACAATCTTGGACACAACTGTTTTGGACACGAATACTCATGCCCTCACCTAATACGCCATTTTGTAACGACGTCCATCCTGGATTTTAAATTTTGTCATAATCACAGTATTCTACTAGTGTAGCCCTTTCATTTGATACCCATATTGAGGGGGTTGTGGAAAAATATGAAATCCGCCATTTTGTACCGGCGGCCATCTTAGATTTACAATGTTATTGATATTACTATATTGTATTGTCATCGGAACTAAAGGTGTGTACCAAATTTCAGATCAATCTGACAACAGGAAGGTACTTAAATTTCAATTTCTAATTTTGATCCAAATAAACAAACAAATAAATAAATACCGTACGAGTCGAGCTAAATAAAACCGTTTAAAAATGTAAATTATAAATATGCAATTTAAAGTGAATCTGGATGCTATTTTTTTTAATGGAATACCCTGTATATTATTTCATTTTTGGTGTCCTCCATACGATGGGAATTACTTACTATCTATTAATATTACTTATATTAAGATCACTTACTATCACTATACTAGGAATTTACTGTATTTGGTCTGTACTTACTTAGCTAAAAATATCGTAATCTTAAATTATACAGGGTGTTCAAAATTCTATGCCAAACTTTTTTAAATAGAAAAAATATTTTTTTATTGGAACCAGACAAAAATCATCGGATAGCTTTGATAAAAAACTGTTGAAAACCCCGTGTAATGTATAATATTACGAATATCCGCAAAACCGTTAAAACTTTTGAAATACTTTAAATACAAAAAAATGTTTATCTTTTAATTCTCCATTTAACAAAGAAATAATATACAAGGTGATCCATTAAAAAAAAGGAAGAAAAATTATTTTATATTTTAGAAAGTTTAGCATAGAATTTTGAACACCCTGTATGATTTGAACACCCTGATATTCAGGCTGAGGCGAAAAACGCCATATCCAAACTACTTCCATTTAAATCCCGAATAATTTATGAAGAGGAATACAAAAATTTTCAAAAATGGAAGCAATTAAAAAACGTGCGTGAAGAAATAAAGTTTTTAACCTATCCTCGCTGTTAAAGTATCATTTAATAATTTACTCTTGATTTAATCTACCCTTGCGGTTAAAGTACTATTTTATCTACTATTTTTGATAGATATAAAGCAATTTTAACAGTTGCTATGGAAAAAATTTGCTATGGAAACATTTTGTTGCTATGGAAATATTTTAACGGGTAAATCTGTAGCAATACTTGAAATTTGATTTATTTAATTTAAATAGTCATTTTTTCATTATAGGCGATCCTTAAATAAGTGCATATATTTACAGGTCTGGTAGATATCGATAGAAGAATCATAATATATTTTTACCGTTTTTTCAAATAAGTCCAAAATAACCGAGTTATTTAACTTTGAAAATTAAAAAAAATTGTGCTTTGGGAAGTTTTTTTCTTCTGTGTTTTCGTTCCTCTAAATTTAATATTCTACCTATGCTGCCATATTATCAATGTATTAGGTATGTTTTTTAATAAAAAAATTAAAAAATCCATTTTTTTCGGAACACCCTGTATAACAAAAAATTTCGAACTATTTAAATGTCCTACCTGTTCGAGTCGTAATTCTCCAAGGTCGTACGCCAGAAATCCCCGATCTTCTTCCTCTTCTTCGGCACCAGGTCGTCTTGTTCACCACTTTCGACGTCGACACTAACAGAGTCAGGCGTCGGGACGCCGAGCGTCGTTTTATATGTGCGTCCTACGACGCATCACGTGTGTCTTTCCGTCCCAGAGACGATGGCATTGGTTACCATCGTCGTGGTAGGCGGATGGGCGGTACGTGTTGTAATTTTTTTTCGGTAACATACAGAAGAGAAAAATGTCGGTTGTTTGATTAATCTTGTGAGGATGCTAATATGAACTGGTGAAAACTGATTTTCTTTGTGTGCATTTAAAGAATAGTCTTACAGAGATGACTAATTTGGTATAATCATATTTAATTTGACTAGCTATCTAAAGCTTTTAATATAGTATATAGGGTGGTGACAATTTCACCAAAAAATATTTTTTAAAATACGCTCAAAAGATCAAGTCTGCCTTGGAAATCCAATTGACACTTCTTTATATTGACAGCAAGTTAATTTTTGTTTACTCTATTAAGTGTCAGATCTGAATACAAAAAATTATAGTACATAGTGTAAAATGTATTAACCATAGACTTAAAATAAAATATAGACTGAGCATCTCATTCATAAATAGCTGGAACATGCGGTCAGACAATGTCTTGTTATTGTTGTGTTATTGTTTTAGGTTATAACGAGTGCGACACGAGCGATAGATAGGTTGTCTCTGTCGTAACGGTCGTTCCCCTGACGACTCTGCTGAGAAACACAACACTGTCTTTTCGTTTCTCAAGTACACCTGAACTCTCCGTGTCATAGCCGGGTAATTTTTTATTTTAATGAAGCTATAATTAAATTAAAAATATATCGTATTTAAACTTTTTTATATTTTATTAAGATTTAGGACAGGTTTTTTAAATAAAAGTTTAGAAAAAACGTCTTAGAGTCCAAAAAGGATAAAAATAGTAAAATACACATTCTAGAAGAAATTGTATAATCGAAATTACGTAATTTTTGAAATTAATAATAAATTATTAATTTTAGTCAAACATTTACAACCCCTAATATTAATCAAAACAGGATCTATTCCACAGATATAATAGAATCGCCGACAGGGAGAGAAAATAAAATATGATTGTTGTATTTTTTTTTCTGGTTAAGTGATGTCTTATTATGTAAATTAGAGAAAACATAAATCTGTTCCATTAAAGCAACGAAGGTGATAGGAAGTGGACAAAATGAAAACTACATTTATTTAACTCGGTACTGTTTTATTATACCGTGTGCGTCCCAAAAGTGGCTCATCCCCATAATTTTTTTATATTTTCAAATAAAAAAACAAGATTTAGCATTTTAGTATATGACATAAATTAGGATTGATTGAGGCATTCAATTGTTTTTGGTCACTTCCTGTTTCATCGGAAATGACTATAACTTTTAATTATAACATTTTTAAACGGCACCCTCGGTATATTTCTACTTTATTCGATAGAAAATGACACTCTGAATAGAATGACATATTATATGTCAACTTTTGACATTTTCGCATATGGTTTAATTGTAATTATAACACGCGGTTCATAACGACAATTTGACTCGAAATACCAAGTGTGTGGTATCAATATATTCATAAAAAAATGCTTTTTCCAAATATGCTAATGAGTCACCCTTGTTCCATTTGAAAAAATTGACATATGTATGATTAAAAATACGATTTGTATTGTATACATCTTTTAACCGGCTTAGACAAGACACGAAACCCATTAGACGATCAAAACTATTTTTCCAAGGCTCTTTGATTAAAACTTAGTGTTTTTAACAACACCATGGCACCCTGGATTGAAATTTAAAATACGATTTGTTTTTAAGCGACAATGTCAAAAGTTGACATATAATATGTCATTCTATTCAGTCAGTTCAAGTCATTTTTTATCGAATAAAGTAGCAATATACCGAGGGTGCCTTTAAAAATCAAAAGATGTAATCATTTCGGTGAAACAGGAAGAGACCAAAAACAATTGAATACGTCAATAAATCCTAATTTATGTCATATACCTACTAACATACAAATCTGTTTTTTTATCTGAAAAAATAAAAAAGTTAGAGGGGTGAAACACTTTTGAGACGACCCGGTATATTAAAAAATATTGTTTCATAATGTAATATTATTTTAAAATTCTTGTATGTTATTTTAGATTCTGAAGATAATTTTAGAATAAACCGGAATATATGTATTTTTAATAAAAACATTATTAATTATTAACAGGGTTATAATTATGATTTTGTTACAATGTAAGTAAGTAAATAATGTAATGTAAGAGAAAAAATTCAGATTTTACATTTTACTAAAATATTACCTAAATAAGCGCCTTTCTACAACTATGCCACTGACTCCCAATGGGTAAATTGAGAGTTGCCTACCGGTCAAAAGTCGTTTCAAGACAAATGGATTATTTAAGTCAAATTTCTTGCAAATTTGGCACTGGCGAACCATATTTTATAGTTCTTGAACAGAAAAAGTCAATAAAATAAACACTTAAGAACTACAAGCTAAGAAAATGCGTTAATACAGCCGGGGACATAGCGGCAACAAAGCTTTGCCGCACACGTGCGACGCGTACTGCAAGGTAATAAATGAATGAATAGGCTCCCTCGCCTCTAATCGGTGTTGTCATATTGTAAAGAACTTATCCTTTTTAAACAGTATCCGACTTATAATTTAGTAATATAAGGACTATTTAATACATCTATGAAATATTAAAACCTACTTTATTAAACTGTAGTATTAATATCTCAATATATGTGTATAACAAGAAAAAAAAATATTGATAATTTTAAAGACGTGACAACATAGGCTGGATGAGGAAGGCTCCGTCCACTGTACCCAGCAGTAAACATGTGTACAAAAAAGATTGTTTGACCGCGTTGAGATGTAAATAGTTTAGTCTATATTTTATTTTAAGTCTATGGTATTAACAGTCAACAATATGTTCACAAGTGAGGAAACACGAGATATGTATAATGTTTACTTAAAAAATAATAGAAATTCCGATATGGCATGCGCAAGTTATAGAAAATTGTTCCCTGAAAGGACACAGCCTTATCGTATTATATTTGCAAGGATGCCAAGAAATTTAGCAGTTGCTGGTAGCTTTAAAAAACAAGAGCAATATTTTAAAATGCTTAATTATATTAATATGCCAGCTCGGATTGAAATAAATCCGGAAACTTCTAGTCGTAAAATAAGTCGCGAGTGTTGTGTAAGTGATTCTTATGTAGGGAAAATTATCAAAAAACATAAATATCGCAACTTTTAATTTAAATGTGTACCAAGTTTACATTTTTTTACATGCTGGTGATTACGAGAGATTACAATTTTGCAAATGGTTTCGGGAATGTGTTCAAGAGAGCCCCCTTTTCTCTAGAAAAATGTTATGAACGGATGAATCTTTATTTACAAATTCTGGTACATTTATCAGAAAAAAAATCACATTATTATACAAAAGAAAATTCTCATTTATATGAAAAACCAGACCACAAATAAGATGTTCTTTAAACATCTGGGCTGGCGTTTTTAGAATAAAATTTTAGGTTCTGTATTGAGCTCTTCTATACAATTTTTGTGCGTCCAGATTTGACACTAATAGAATAAACAAAAAAATAACTTGCTGACATATAAAGGGTCAAATGGATTTCCAAGGCAGACTTGATCTTAGGCGAATTTTTAAAAAATCTATTTTTTAGTTAATTTACATAAAAACGAATAAAAATTAGTTACCACCTTATAAACTTTTTTTCGTTTCATCTAATAGTAAAAAAATTCAAAATGGCGATCATAAGAAAACTATAACTTGATTGTTGTGTGAAATCTAGAAGGCTTAGAAATTTTCTGAAAACGGCATTTAATTGGCCGAGGTCAAAAATATAAATCTACCAACTTACGTTGCAATAGATACAATAGTTTTCAAGATATTCTCATTTAAAATAAACGTATTATTTTCATTTTTTTGACATAAATCCGAAACTAAGCAAGATACCGGGGTTTCCTTCATAGGTGTTTGTGAAACTTCTAATTACGCAACTTTTGTCCCATTTAACCGTTTTCGTATCTCTCGTACTTTCTGAGATGCCAATGTTGAGCATCGAAATTGTCACCACCCTGTATACAATTTTTTTTTTAAATTTAGAATGAGTGGGAGGGGGGTTAATCACTGCGACCTTACAGATCCATTGTGTCCCCCTTTCTTGAGTCATAACTCATCATACAGTCCCAGGGCTTTGACAAAAGCCAGTATCTGGGACGGTTTTATAGAGGGTAGTTCTCCATCTCCAATATCAGTCGTACCAAAATTCATGGCACGAATGGTTGTCGTCTCGGTGCACTCAGTGATGAGGTGTACTGGTGTTTACCCATCTTCCCCACAGAATCTGCATTCGCGGTTTCTTCTTAGTTTCAATCTACTGAGGTGTTCATTGAGGAGACAGTGTCCTGTTAAAAACCCCGTGACAATCCGAAGATTGTTCTTACTCAGACCCAGGAAGATCTGTAATTTTTCTTGATCATAAGCCCTCAGAAACTTCTTCGAGTGTCTTAGACCATTGCAAGATTTCCATTCCAGGTTGCGGATGGAATCTTCCAAGTTCTTGAGTTCCGCCTTGAGTTGGTTACCACTTGGAAAGCAGAACGGTTCTGGTCCAGTTAGTGGAGTGTTAGCTCCTTTCCTAGCTAGATTATTTGCTTTTTCATTGCCTTCTATCCCTTGGTGAGCAGGCACCCAGAGTAGGAGGACTTTGTTTTCTTTGCCTAATTTATTCAGCTTCTCTATGCATTCTTTGACCAATTTCGAATTGATCGATACTGAGTTGATCGCTTTTAACGCTGCTTGACTATCAGACAAGATGGCTATTTCTTGTTTCCGATAGTTCCTATCTAAGATAAGTTGTACGCATCTTTCGATAGCGTAGATTTCTGCCTGTAGGATACTAGGGTAAGTGCCCATTGGTTCGGAGTATTTAGCTCTCGGCCCAAACACTCCGATCCCTGTTCCCGTATTGGTTTTGGAAGCATCAGTATACCAAGTTAAGCTTTTAACTGCTGGGCAAGCGT